CCCCAGGTGTCCCCAGGTGTGTCCCCAGATGTCCCCAAAGTGTCCCCAGGTGTGTCCCCAGGTGTGTCCAGGTGTCCCCAGGTGTCCCCAGGTGTGTCCAGGTGTCCCCAGGTGTCCCCAGGTGTGTCCAGGTGTGCCCAGGTGTCCCCTCAATGTCCCTCCACCTCCCCACCCCCTGCTGTTCCCTTTTGTGTCCCCCCCTTGTCCCCCACTGTCCCTGACCCTTGACCCTGCTGACCCCTGCCCCCTGTGACCTTTGACCCCCATGACCTTTGACCCCTGCCCCCTTGACCCCGTGACCTTTGACCTTCCCCCCCCAGCTCTCCCAGCACCCTGGGCCGGGGTCTTTGACCCCTGTGACCTTTGACCCCCGTGACCTTTAACCCCCTGCCCCTCGGCCCCTGTGACCTTTGACCTTTGACCTTTGACCTTCCCCCCCTCAGCTCTCCCAGCAGCCTGGGCTGGGGTCTTTCCCCTCCATGACCTTTGACCCCATGACCCTTGACCTTTTCCCCCTCAGCTCTCCCAGCACCCCAGGCTGGGGTCTCTGACCCCTGTGACCTTTGACCTTTGACCTTTGGCCCCCCCAGCTCTCCCAGCACCCCGGGCCGGGGTCTTTGACCCTTTGACCTTTGACCCTTTGACCCTTTGACCTTTGCAGCTGTCCCAGCGCCCCGGGCCGGGGTCTCTGACCCCATGACCTTTGACCTTTGACCTTTGCAGCTGTCCCAGCGCCCCGGGCCGGGGTCTCTGACCCCATGACCTTTGACCTTTGACCTTTGACCTTTGACCTTTGCAGCTGTCCCAGCGCCCCGGGCCGGGGTCTCTGACCCCATGACCTTTGACCTTTGACCCTTTGACCTTTGACCTTTGCAGCTGTCCCAGCACCCTGGGCCGGGGCCTCTGACCCCATGACCTTTGACCTTTGACCTTTGACCTTTGCAGCTGTCCCAGCGCCCGGGGCCGGGGTCTCCGATCTTCGTTCCCGGGGGTGGGGGCTGGGCCCTGGCCAAGCTGTGGGTGAGGGGCGCGCACTTTGTCCAGCACGAGATGGTCACTCACCTCCTGCACGGCCACTTCCTGGCCGAGGCCTTCGCCGTGGCCACCCAGCGCCTGCCGGCCGTGCACCCCGTGCACCAGGTACACCCCAAAAACACCCTGACAGCCCAAAAACACCCCAAAAAACACCCCAAAAACACCCTGGCACCCCAAAAACACCCCAAAAACACCCTGACAACCCCAAAAACACCCCAAAAAACACCCCAAAAACACCCCAAAAACACCCCAAAAACACCCTGACAGCCCAAAAACACCCCAAAAAACACCCTGATCCCAAAAATCCTCATC